GAAACTTTGGGGTCTCCCTCTCCTTTTGAGACCCTTGCAGAGACTGGGGAGAGCTGGGAATAGGACCCAGAGACCTGGTTCCCAAACCCCATTCTCCAGCCCGCACACAGGCGTGGGAGGATGGCAGGAAGCCGTGTTGTGCCAGGACGGGGCGCTCGCGTTCCTGGTGCAGCCCAGCTTTCACTGGGGGTGGGGGGTTCTCCGGCCTCAGCCCCTTTCAGCTGGGGAGCTGTCCGCAAGTCGCTAACCTTCCCCTGGCAAGGGGGGCGCTGGGCACTCTCCCGGATTTGGGAAAGGCCCCTGTTTCACGAGGCTCTGTGTTGGACATTGTGTGTTGCACGCTGCAGCTGGGCCTTTAGTTTTGGCTACGCTCTTGTGAGCGGAACAGGTCAGGGCATCGTTAGTGAGACTTGAAATATAAACCCCAGCGGCGCTTTTCCCGCTCAGAGGCTGGTCTTCAAGCATCTCGGCAGGAACGGGCTCTCTTCTGAGAAGGCATCCGTTAGGCGACACCAGCGCAGTGGCGTGCGGCTGTGCCCCGAGCAGCGCAGCTCCGGCCCTGTCGCTGGGAGCGTCCTCTCCCAGCAGTGTTGATAATAGAACAGCTGATCAGATGGATGCAACTTGGGATGTTAAATTTCGATTAATTGGCTAATCGAGTAGTCGATGGAATTTCCATCAACTACTCGATTAGTCGATGGGGGGGGGGGTGCTTGCTATCCCGCTGCACCTCTCCCTTTGAAAAGAGCCACATTGTACATTTCAAAGAGAGGCGCAGCAGTCGGGACACCTGCCTGCTGCTCCCCCCTTGCTGCCTCTCTCTGATGGGGGGGAGTGACGAGTCGAGTGACTACTCGACTCTCCGAAAGGCTTGTGCTTACCGGGTAGTTGACTAGTCGCTTCCATCCCTAGCTACAGCACGGCCTGCGTGTCTGGGTAAGGCACGTCGGTGGGAACTTAGCTCCGAGCTCCTCTGCCTGGGTTGCATTGTCCTTGGCCTCAGCCATTTCTCTTGTGCTGCCGTGCAGGCTCTGTTTGTGTGGTGCTTGGCAAACGCCACCTGTTGTTGGGTTCTCCCGATGCTGCTGTAATCCAGTTCATAAGAACAGCGGCCACGTTCCACCCCAGAGGTGGCCGCGTTTCGGCGCCCTGGGAAAAGGTCTCTGTGTCCCTTGCCTGTGATGTTGAGGCGTAGCCGTTAAACACTCTGTGATCACGTGTAACGTTTCTCCCTGAGGGGTTCTGGGCAGCTGAAATGCAGTGAGAGTTGCTAGCACGTGGGCTGACGAGCTGTGGGTGGAAGCAAGTTTTGTCCTGCGTCTAATGGACCGAGCCCTGAATCCGCCCACTAGCTTCCCAGCATGGCGATGTTCCCGGGAGCTGTGCTGAAAGCTCCTCCTGCATTTTTCCCCAGCACGCTCCGTTGTCACCTTGAGGGCCCTGTGCCGTCCCCTCGGAGGCGGGAGGGGGGCTCCCCAGAACCCCTTGCACTGCCAGGACTTAGTGCAGGGTAACCCAGGAGACCGGGTCTGCTGCTGGAGTGTACTGTCCCTGGCTGATCTGGCCCTGCAGCGCGGCTGGGGGAGCAAAGCACAGCTTGGTTCCCAGAGGACGGCCTGCCCGGCGGAAGTGGGGGTGACTCTAGAAAGCCAGCTGGGAGGGCTGGGTGCGTGGGCCAGGTGCCACGGGTGTGGTTCCGTTCTCAGCAGAACTGGAAGAGCAGCGTCTTTGGGGAGCTGGGAGACGGATTTGCTTGGAGCTGGGTGGCCTGGACGGTAAAGTGGAGCCAGGTGTGTCTCCTGCAGCCTCTTACTCAGGCTGGGGGCAGGGGGGCTGCCCTGCGTTGCCCCAGCTCACAGCTTCCGCTCTGCCTGCGGAGTCACCGTACCAGTCCCCCCTGCCATATGCTGACGTGCCGCTGAGCACGTGCCGGCCCCGAGCCCCGTGTGCTGGGAGCCTGTCCAGTTTCCCACGCTGACTCTGGCTCCACTTCCTGCCTGTCTGCTTCTCTCTTGGGCAAGAGAGGCATCCGGCGGTTCCTCTTTCTTTTCTGTGCCTAGAGAGCCCCACTGCCTCCTGGCCAGGGTCGGCTGCCGCAGCTCCCACCTGTGTCTCCAGGCCTCCCTCTTTGACTGTTGAAAATCCCTCCCATGCCTCCCAAAGACCCACTTCTCTGCCTCCAGACTCCTGAGGATCAGCCATCACCTAACCCTAACCCTAACCCAAAGCCGGGATTGTACCCCCAGCTCCATGCTCCGTCTTGGGTCCTTTCAGAATGGCCCAGGCTATGACTCGGCCAGGGCTCCATCCACCCCACGCCGCGCTTTTCTGTCTACTCCCTTGTTCACCCAGGGCAGGGCCAGGGAACCTTTTTTTGGGTTGGGGGCTGCTGACCCACGAAAAATCAGTTGGGGGCTGCGCACAAGTGAGAAGCCAAAGAAAAAGCCCGCCCCTCGCTGGGGTGACCCCTGACTGAGAAGCAGAAAGATGCTCCCCTCGCACGCCGGCGCCTATGGGGCCCTGCACGAGTCGACACTGCGCCAGCCCTGCGGAGGCACGGGGGGGGAGTGGAGCGGAGCGCAGCGCAGGCTTGTGATGGACCAGGCCGGGTCTGGGCACCGCTGAGGGCGTCCGCTCAGGGCGAATTGCTCAAATTCAGGGCTCCTTACAGCCCCCAGACTGGAGACCTTCCTAAACAGGCCACACACCAGTCCCACAGAGCACTCCAGCCGCCTGCCTGAAGCCTCACGAGCAAAACCCCTCCGGCACCCCAGCAATATTCGTGCCCCAGATGGCCCCGGGCCTCATACACAGGTGGGGGGTCCTAGCACCCAATCCCACCTACCCCGAACAAGTTCTGTCCGGTTCCAAGAAACCAGCCACAGATCCCTGGTCAATTTACCCTCTGGACCTTACCCACAAATCACACTGAGCCAACCCTGTAGCATCTAACAACTAAAGGTTTATTACCACAAGAAAGAAAAGCGGGAGAGTGAGGTTGTTAAAGGATAGTACGTTATATGCATTGAATTTCCCAGTTCTCGATGCAGGCTCCAGCAGAGATGTTACAACTGCTGGTTTAAAAGTCTTTGGTGAACATCCTAGGTCAGGATGGGTTCACAGTTCTTTCCGGCTCTTCAATTCCTGCACTGCTGCCTCTGGGATGAAGGGCTGAGCTGAGAACAAAATGGAGTTGGCCACATGGCATATTTATACCCCCTCCTGGCTTCTTCCAAGCAGGAAGGAGTCACATGGCCAGTGGCCAGGTGTGTCTTTGGCCTCCAGAGGTCCATTGTTCAATCACATACAGAGAAACTTCCAGTCTCCATACAGAGTACAGATCCCTAACTCCACACACAGACATTATACAGATCTATGAAGAGCATACACAGAATCAGTAGAAAGTCAGCTTTTGTTTGACACCTCACATGGCCCCCTTTGGACCAACGTTTGGGGCAAACACCCCCCATGGGTGCAGCAGTGGTATGGCTGTGCCCCTCAAAATCCAGTAACGTGACAAGGCTCCCCAGTGGTGGGTGGAGAGCCCTAAGTCTTGGGGCTCCCTCTGGTCCATCACTGTTTGTGCAGGCGCCCTCTCCACAGCGTCCCCATCCCCCTTTGCCTTCCTTGAGATCTCCCCGCACAGCTCCGTAACCATGTGGCACTGCCCCTTCCCTGCACCAGTGAGTTCCCAAGGTGCCCATGGCTGTCGGCTGCATTCTGCACCCTTCCCCACGTGCTCCCTGGCCTCTGTGCCTGTGCTGCACCCTCCAGTGAGGCTGACAGTGGACGTGCTTCTCTTGGAGCCTCCCTGAGGCTCTGTGGTAAGGTCCCAGGTGTATGTCCCTGGCGGCTGTCTGGCCTGCAGAATGCCTGGGGGGAGGCTGCAGTCTGTCCTAGGTGGCTCGAGGCTGAGCGGGGGTTTTACGGCACAGGTGCGGGCTGCGCGGTGCCTGGCGAGTCTGGCAGGGTGGTGTCGTTGAGGCAACCTTTGAGACTGCAGGGCAGGGCACCGACAGTGTTGATTGTTCTGCTCAGGGCAGTATTTGCATTGCCAGGTTCCGCCTTGGCACTCCGGCGGGGTAGCGAGCCAGATCCCCGCACCACTGCTCTGCCGGCGTCCCCTCTCTGCTGTCCTGGGCTCAGCGGGAGCTGTCTGTGCTGCTCCTGCCGTGATCCTGCCTGGCAGCCAGCAGGAGCTGCAGGAAATGGGATCCGGAGGCGGACGCCTTGGCAGGGCGATAGGGCTGCGCTGCATCCTCCAGGCACCGGCACAGCCCAGTTTTACTGCTCTGCAAGGCCAAAGCAACACACCAGCGTGGGGCTGCTCGGGTGGGCGGCCAGCTGTCCGGTGTGGGAGGAGTCCGGCTGTGCAGAGGGCCCGGCAGTAAGGGTGTGACGAAGCGGGTAACTGTATCGAGTACCCGATTAGTCGATGAGGGCCCCCCCGCGGTGACTCTGCAGTTGAAATGTAGTCGGAGCTGGGCGGGGGCAGGGCTGCTGTGGGAGCCACAGAGACGGTGCTGGGGGAAACCAGCTTTTAAGCCGGCTCCCCCCCCCAGCCCTGGTTCCTGTTCTGCCCCCCTTTTCCCCCATACAGAGGCAGTGGGGGGAAGTGAGTAGGCCTAGGCTTATCAGGTAGGCGTGGCTAGTCACTGACATGGGTGGGTGGGGGGGGAAAATTGCCCGGCCGTGACTCTCAAAGCTGCAGCTGTGCTTTGCTCTGCCTGGCCAGCAAGCCGCTCGTGGGAGAGCTGCTGAAGGGGAGAGGTAGCCTGGAGCAAGAGACCTGCCCTGGAAACCTCCCGGGGGCTGGCTGGAGAGAGATGCTCTGAGCAGGGGCAAATGACCATTTTGCGGGGCCCAGGGCAGCCCAATATCGCGGGGCCCCCCTTTGCCATGGGGCATGCACCCTGCTCGCTCTGCCCTATATCTGCCCCTGGCTCTGAGGTGTATGGAGGGGCGTGGTAGAAACCCACTGGGCCTCTCAGGAGCTTCCTGCATAAGGAGATGCGTGTGGGTGAGTGAAGGAAGCCACCCGAGGGCGCATGAAGCGGAGAGACGGCCCCGGCGTCTTGGCTTTCCTGGCTCAGCAATAGGCCCCCCGGCTAGCGAAGAGGAGGGCAGATCTGGGTTATTCCCCCGAGGGCGTGGAGGCGGCAGGGTCGGTTGTTTGGGGTGAGGTGGGGGGCACCGAAGTTGGATTCTGACTCTGATCGTTTCCCTTGCAGTATGTCTTTGCTGACTTCGGCGGCTCCGTCTCGCTCTCCTGGCTTGGAGACAGCAAAACCAGCCGTGGGCTTGGGCAGGCTGGAGGGGCAGCTGGGGAGCAGGACTTTGCTCACTGTAAACCCAGGGCACAAGCAGCCCTGAGCACTGGGCACTCGCTGCGCCCACGCTTGTATCCCGCCTGGGACGGTCCTCAGTGGGGACTGGGCCAACGCTCCAGCTGGACCAGCCAGCAGCGCGAGCAGCACAGCCCTCCCCACCCTGCAGCAGGGGCAGTATGCTGGCCGAAAGGTGCTTAACCTGGCCTGGCTTGGGTAGGTCCAGCTAGAGCAGGGGGTAATAATTTTTGGTGAGGGGCTCCGAGGATTTTGCTAAGTGGTCAAGGGCTGCGCTTTTCTACGGAGGGGCTGTGGGGCGATTTTGGAAAGTGGTTAAGGGCCGCACTTGTTTGTGGCGTAGGTGCAGGATTGGGTGCAGAAGGGTGCATGGGGTAAGGGACTAGGGTTCAGGAGACGGCGTGGGGTCTGAGCGGGTGTGTGGGTGGAGGAGGGGGTTGTGGCCTGGGTCAGGAGGATGGGGTGTAGGGTCAGGAGAGGATTCTGGCCTGGGGGAGGGTTGGAGGAGGGGGTGCAGGCTCTGGGAGAGGGTTGTGACCTGAGGCAGGGGGTGCAAAGGGTTTGGGTGGTGATGTGGGGCAGGGAGTTGGGGGGCAGAAGGGGGTGGGGTGCCAGAGGCAGGCTGTGGCTGGAGTGCGCTTACCTAGGCGGCTCCCCACCAGCAGCCCAGCCGGCCCCTCGGCGTGCTCCCTGCCTGCCAGCAGCTCCAGACTGCTCCAAGCGGCTGGCTGTTCCCTGTGCCTCTCCGGGCTGTGCGCCTGTGGGGGAGGGGGAGGGCAGGAGGTCTTGTCTGGTCTGTGGGACTCTGATCCCGTGGCCCTTCCCAAGTTTCCTGCCCCAGATTGGGCTGGGGGCCAGGTGGCTGCCTGACAGCACCCACGTGACCTGTGATTTGGGAGAACTCCCTTGCTGCACCCCCTTCCCAAGCCTTGGGCCAGCGCGTCCCTGCCTTGCTGTTCAGAGTGTTCTCTGGGGGAAGCCTGGGCAGAGGCAGGGCAAAGCACTCGCCGACGGGCCGCAAGGGGCGAGTTAAGGGGCTGCCAGCCCCCTTCCCGGGGGCAGCGGGTGCGATGGGGGGGCTGCGGGCTGCGCACAGGCTGCTAGTGAGCCGCCCCGGGGCTGGCCTGAGGCCTGACGCCTGTTCTCTCTCTCCAGGTCATTCTCGTCCTGACCACGTTCAAGATCCCGCTGGTGTTAGTGAGCTTCACCAAGTCCAACCTGTACAGGAGGTGAGGCCCCGGTTTGCTGACCTGGCTGGACTAGGGAGGCTGCGCGTCCCGCTCTGGCCCTGCTGCCGTGCTCCCCTAGCCTGGCGTGTTCCCTGGCCAGGCGCTGGGAGGAGACGGAGCTGCCTCCTTTGGCGTGGTGGGGGAGGCAGGGCCCCTGCCTGGCAACAGATCACTCCGCTGTGTCACCCGAGCGGTGGCCTGGCCTGGGTGATGCCTTGGGTGGGACTCGTAGCTGTGGGCAAGGGGGCATCTCGCCTGTGCCTGGCAGTGTGAGAGTCGCAGACCAGCTCTGCCCAGCCCTGGGGTGAGCGGGGGGGCAGGGAGCACGGGCGTGCCCAGCCGGCCTTTCCACGCCCCAGTGCGCTGAGCCCGCCACGTGGCGCCCTGCGCCCAGCTCCCTTCCCTCTGCAGTCCTGCCCCGTTGCCACCGCCCGCAGCCTCCCAGGCCGCCTCCGCACGGCTGCAAGGGCTCGCCAGAGACTGAGCGCCCAGCCGCCGTCTGTCCCGGCCCACACAGCCCCTTTCGGGGCGGAGGCTGGAGCTGAGCAATGCAGAAAGAGGCAGGAAGGGGGTGGAAGAGGAGTGGGCGCTTCAAAGCGGCAGCACCACGTGGAGCTGGGGACTCCCCCCTCCCCCTTCTCTCCCCCGTGCTCCCCGTAGCGCTGCCGCTTTGAGACGCCGCAGGGAGCCCGGGGCCAGCGCTCTTGCCTTGCCGTGTAGCTACAGCCCTGGGGCAGAGGCGCCCTGATCGACTAGTCGGTGCAAATTGCATCAACTATTCAATTAGCCCATTAATCAAATGTAACATCCCCAGGCCCCACCCCCGGGGGGCACGGCGAAGCTGCACTGCTGAGGCTTCAGCCTGGTGGGCCCTGGGCTGCAGCTGCTTGGGGCTTTGACTTTCTGCTCCGGGCCCCAGCGACTCTAACGCGGGTCCTGCTTGGAGAGCCCCCGAAACCCACTCCCCGCTTGAGCCGCTGCGCTAGGAGAGTCATCAGCTACTTTCCTCTCTCAGCGAGGACTATGGCAAAACGTTCACGGACATCACGAAGCTCATTAACCACACCTTCATCCGGACGGAGTTTGGGATGGCCATCGGACCGGAGAACTCGGGGAAGGTAGGAGATGGTGGCTGCTGGGGACAAGGGCAAGTCACATCACGGCTCCGTGCCTCGGTTTCCTCACATGTAGAACGTGGGAAGTCTCTGGGGCTGAGAAGCACTTGGAGCCCCCTTGCCAGGAAGTGCACATTGTGATCCCATGGCATGGAAATGGGGGTTGAGTGAGCCATGTGGGGCTGACCAGAACAGCCGCAGTGGGGGATGGCGAGGCGGATGCTGTCGCAGCAAAGGCACGTGCCCCTCTCTGATCTGGTCTTCGCCTCCTTGTCTAGGTGATTCTGACGGGGGACGTGCCTGTGCCTGGAGGGAGACGTGGTGGAAAGATCTTCAGATCGTCCGATTATGCTAAGAACTTTGTTCCGACAGATCTCCCCTTTCAGCCCCAGACTCAGGTCATGTACCACCCGCAGAACTCCGACCACCTGCTGGCCCTCAGCACCGAAGTAAGACAGGGCCCCTTCTGCTCCCTCGCCTCTGTCCCAACAGGGCTGCCGGCGTGCTCTGCGCGAGCCTGGCTCTGAGTCCTGCAGCCGTTCCTGGTGGGGGTGGGTAACAGCATCCCCCAAGGAGGAGAATGGCAGAACAGCCCTTCAGACACGCATCCCCCGAGCCCTATTCCCGAGTCTGGGCCAGGCAGCGGGGGCTTCCAAGGGAGTGTTCAGCAGCCCTGATGTGCTCCGTTTCCCAGAGCTGGCTCTGCCTCTTTTCAGGCCAGCCTCTGTCGGATGCGCTACGGTAACCCCGCTAGTAACCAGCAACCCTGTCTGACTGCTGAACTTTTCAGAACAGCCTCTGGGTGTCCAGGAACTTTGGGGAGAAGTGGGATGAAGTCCACAAAGCTGTTTGTCTGGCCAAATGGTGAGTAGCCCAACGGTCAGCGGGTGTCGGCTGCTCTCCACCCTCCTGCCGGAGGAAGGCAGTAGGGAGATGGGGTTGGGAGACGTCCCTTCTGCAAGGCCGCGTCCAGGGCCCTCGTATGGGCCGAAGTTCGCTGTGCAAGGCTCTGCTCTTCTCTAGAACGCTGCACCCGGCCTGGGCCTGTGGCTGGGCTCGGAGGGTAACATTTGCCTGACTGGCTCCACCTGCCTTTGCTCAAGAGCATCCCCAGCCTGGCCAGCCACCGTGTCCTCCGGCCGGGCTGTCTGAGGGCCTGTGTTCAGTCACACACTGCAGCTGGGCCCTTGGCAGGCTGATAAATGCCGGCTCCTCCTTTGGTGGGCTGGGCTGGGCTCGCCGACATCCGATTCCGCCTGTGAATACCCCCCTGCTTTGTGGCTGTGCTGGGGGAGGGGACACTTGGGAAAATCTCAGGGGGGAGCCGTGTGCGTCTGTAACTGAAACAACTTAAAAAACAACGAATAGTCCTGCAGCACCGGAGACGCTCAGGGTATGTCTAGACTGCACCCCTCTGTCGCCAGAGGGATGTACGTTAGACATATTGACACTGCTAACGAAGCGGGGATTTAAATATGCAATGCTACATTAGAATAAAAATGGCCGCCGCTTTTTGCCGCCGCGGCACTTTGCCGGCAAGAAGCGGCAGTCTAGACGGGGACCAGTCGACAAGGAAAGCCTTTTCCGACCGATCCCTTATGCCCCGTGCAACAAGGTTTACAGGATCGGTCGGAAAAGGCTTTCCTTGTCGACCGGTCCCCGTCTAGACTGCCGCTTCTTGCCGGCAAAGTGCCGCGGCGGCAAAAAGCGGCGGCCATTTTTATTCTAATGTAGCGTCGCATATTTAAATCCCCGCTTCGTTCGCA